AAAATGAACTTATTTTCTACCATAATCCTACACATTGTTATAAACCGAAATTTTGTATAACAACAAATGTTAAAGATGATTTATAGAATTAATTAAGGTAATCTTAATTCCATATATTCATCTTGATCTCTTTTTAGGAGAGGTCAAAGAATCATGAGAAGAATGACCAAAGAAAGATAAAGAGAAGACCAAAAATGGTTATCAATGATCAACTTGAAGGACTTGAAAGATGATCTCCTATGAAGACTTTTCCATGTGAATTAGCTTCGGATCTCTAGATGAAAGTCACAGGAAAATGAATTAGCTTTACAACAGAGGTTTTCATGTCAAAACGGAGCTGCGGATCAAGAGTTATGGCTAATGTAGTGAACTAATTGGAAATTCAATTTGGTCCCGTTTTCAGAGAGCAATATCAGTTAGTCATTAGGATTTCATGTTTGATTGAAAGGCATATACATTTCGTGCATATGATTAGATTCACGCATCTAGTTGAAAGATTAATTCTCTTTTGTTTGTTGTTACTAATTTGTCTTCTTTAATTCTCTTATGCTTTCAAAAATACTCAAATAAAAATAAGAAAATTAGAAAGAAAAGGTCATTAAAGTTGTTGGATCTGGACACTCATACAAACATTATTCAAGCTTCACAATCTCAAGAAATGAGATTAAATCCAACTCATGCTCGAGATAACATACCCACAAGGCCACAATAGAAAGCTTTGATGATCCTCATTGTCATTAGTCAATGTAGTGCTGAGAATTTGGTAATTTTGATCAAGTAGTTTTTCCGTTAATTTAAATTATGAAATTGTTACCAAAATGACCAGAAATTAAAAAATGGTTCGGTTATAGACAAATTCAGTTATTTAGCTTTTGATCAAATTAAACAAAAATTACCAACAATTCAGATAATATCGGGTGTTTCGGTTCATTCGGTTAGTTTTGATATTTTGGTTTAATTCGGTTTTGCCTTTCTAAATTGATTTTAATCGATATTGTGTTTAAAATCAATTTAGAATGCAAATCCATATCTGCAGATAGGAGATCTCCTTGCGGTTCTGCTTTGGAATCGTTTAGTTAATGATCTAACTCTAACAGCTCTTACCCAAACAAAGACTAAGCTTTTCAAATTCAGTTTATTCAGATAATTGGTGTTAGTTCGGTTTCATATCTGGTAAGCTTGTTTTGTAATAATGAATTAATACTTCTATTTGTAATCAAGTGGCTAACGTACTTATTTGTACTAGCTTATGTATGCTATAAAGCTAGTTTAGTTATAAAAAAAAAAGAATGACATAGTATTAGACATAACATAAGTCTTATTGTCTTAACATAAACTGAAAACACCTTTACAAACATAGTGTTAACAACACAAAGTGTTAACAACACAAAATCAAAATCAAGTTTACTTAAGATTTTGACACCACTTGTGATTCTTTGACACTTGGTCAGAACAAAAAAAAAAAACAGAAAACAAACAATAGTCAGAACAAGAACATAACAATAGTCAGAACAAGAACATAACAATAGTCAGAACAAGAACAAGAAACTAATCAGACAAGAACGGGACACTAATCAGACAAGAAGAAGACACTAACCAGACCAAGAACAGAACAAGATGTTAGAGATACGATTATGATTCTCACTAATGTCTCAATATTTGATTATTCTCTTTTAGGAACATTCTGTAATTAGCTTAACCTAAAAGTCTCTCTTACTCTGTCTGTATAAATAAGTGTCATGTACAATACATTGAAAGATATTCAATAATATGTTCTTTACAAGATACAAGTGGGAGCAAAGAAAAACATCAATCACTTACAAAGTTACCAATTGAGAAATAAAACAAAGAGACAACCAAACAGTTTACGAAGCAAAGACAAAGCTGATTTAGAGACAAGCAAAGAAGCCACCAAACAGTATACGAGTATGATCTTATTTTTGTAATCGTTACTACATGCATGGTATGTGAGCCGGTAAGATGGTACATATAGTCAACCTTGATGTGGGCGGATCAAGGCCATACTACTGTATAATATAAAAATATATGCATATTTGCGTTTATTTTATTCAAAAAATGATATTCGTTTACACATACTTATTTTTCATAAAGCAATTAGCATTGGTCCAATTGTAAAGAGAAGTAATTCCTGCCACCTAGGTTCGAGTAGCATTGAGTTTGAGTAATTTAACGTGGTCTCCTCAAGATCCCGGGATTAGCTTTGGGTCTAGGAATCCTTTAGACTATCATTATTGATGAACTCTTAAGAAAATCTTAAGCTGAAAAATGTTAAGAGGGTTTCTTAGGATCACATAAACTAAAAAAAAAACTTATTTTTAATAGAATTAAAGAAATTAATCTATCCACATTTGTACTACATTAAAAAAAAAAGTACAACCCAAAATAAAATAAAAAACAGTAAAGGATGTAAGGAAAGGAAACAAAAGAGAGAAAAAAAAGGTTATGAAGTTTTGTGGGTAGAATTAATTAGATGAAGAAGAAGAAGAAGTGGGAATGGTGTCATCTTCTTCGCATTGTTTCAACAATTCACTGAAGGATGGATCATAAGAGCACCTCCAGTGGTTAGCACCATTGGAGGATGCTAATCAATTGTTTTTTTTATTAATTTTCAAAAATTGTGCTTATGTGTTACTTATAATCACAACTTAAGCTATGGTGCTTACAATATATATATATTTTTTTTTTGATTATATTCATTACATATAATGATAAGCAACATGCTAAACATACATTAAGCACCTCCAATGGAGGTGCTTTAAGCCACCACTCTTCTCAAATACTTTGCAGCTAGCTACCTCTCTCCTTCCTTCATTGAATATAGGTACATTTTAATGTCCTTCAGTTGTGTTTTTATCTCATTCATGTTTCATAGATGTTCAATTCTTGGTATTTTTGATGTTTTACTTAGGAACCTTGTTATTGTGAGAGTTGATTAAGTTGTTGAACCTCTCATATAAAGCTTATCTTGTTTGGATCAGTAATGAAGTTTTAGTTATTCTCGTTTTATCAGTCAAATCTTGATCAAACTCTTAGACCAACATTATCAGCAGGATTTAAGGGGTATCTTAGTATTAATAGTATTTAAATTTTAATCAAAAAATATAATAAATATTAAGATACCTATGTTGGAGTATGTTGGAGAAGATACCATTGGTGGGTTAAGAGACGCCTACGTGGCAGACTCTGATTGATTGATATTTTTTTTTTTTTTTTTTTAGAAAGTCTGATTGACTAAGATGATAAATATTTAATGGGAGAAACAAATTTTACTCAGATGAAGATGAACGAGATATGTATACTCAGTTTGATGTCACTGAATTTCAACAAGCGAAAACTGCCAAAAGTACACG